GATTTGTGTCTGTTTTTGCTCACAGATGAATTCCCCAGGGGCCTGGCACACAGTAGCTGCACAGTATGTGTTTTGTCAATGAATATTCTGAGGTGTGGACTTAAATTGGAGAATGGGGCTAAAAGTCACCACCTCTGTGAGCCGATGAACCTCTTGAGTTACCTGGTACTCAAAGACTTTGACGACTTCTCTAGTGAAACAGCATCCCCTCTCCAGTCACACTCTTCCTTTTTTTGTGGGAAACAGACATGCAATTATCATAGCCAGTGCCTGCTAGGGGACTACAAGAAAAGGGCAAAAGTCACTGTACCAAGAATTGAACGTGTTTCTGGAAGTTCTCCACTCAGCCCAGATCTGCAAGTCCTCACGACAACAGAAAGGCCAGGTCACTCGGGTGGATAAAAGGACAGGCCCAAGGCCCAGGACACAGGAGCCCACCATCAGAAACCTGACTTAGGGGAATACAGGGCCCTTACAAACACTGCCTCCTCATTCCTGGATTCCGACTGAATCTGCTGCTACTCGTGTCTGGCCACAGTCATCACATGGATAAAAACAAGACCCCACCACCAAGCCACAGTATCTCAAGAATCCTAATAATTTAAGATGTGGACAAAATACCCAGTTCACATCTAGGAATAAAGAGCCAGTGTGACACAGGGACATGCTTCTGTTTGTAGCCTTCTTTCCCTGACTCCAAAGCACCACGCACCCTGGAAGAGGGTCCTGCTGGCTTCAGTGAATCGAGGCAGAGAAGCGAAGACCAGGAGAAGGGCTATGCTTCAGGAAGGCTTGGATGGATCCTGCAAACACAAGGACAAGAGGGAAAGCAACACCCACTGCAGTCTCTACCGCTCAGCTGTGTAAACAAATAAAATGGTCCATTGCTTCTGGATCCTTAGTTGTCTTTGCACACACGTACAAGTGTGCACATGTCCACACACACACACACACACACACACACCCCACTTCATATCCTCAAAGAAAAACAACCAAGAAAAGTCTACAGTCTGTTTTTGCTGCACATGTAATTTTTTTCCTAAATCACATCTGACTTAGCATTAAAACATCAACCTTTGGCCAAAAGACTCTTAAAACAAAGGCTTAATTGGTTCTGAAGTAGCCCTTCTGAAAACCAAGGGAAACATCTTCTGCAGGTCTTGACCTTGATTACAACACTGCTCTTGGGGTTGGAATAATGATGAGAGTTGGAAGCACTCCCTTCAGGGAGGTAACAGAGACCCAAACCAATCTCCAGGCACCTGCAGGGCTTTCACGGGAGAGACATTTCCACACATCTGCAGCCTGGGCCCAACCGCTCTGTTTTCAGCCTGTGGCTTAGTCTTCCCAGGCTCTGCGGATGGTGGGAGGAGTTTGTAGGAGCTGGGTACAGTGCTAATGCTGGGGTACATGGGCCTCTGATGACATCTAGATTATTTTGTTGCCCCCCCAAGTCATCTCACATACCTAATATGCAATGACGACAATCAAAATTCTGTGTTCAGGTCTCTCAAAAAGTCAACGCAAAAGTAAGCACACATATACCCCTCGCCTCTCCAGGTAGACTCCAGGTGTATGAACAACAGAAATGGAAATACACATTCACCCAGAAGATGTGTCTGAGAATGTGCATGGTGCTTTGCTCATAACAGCAAAAGAGTGGAAACAATCCAAATAGCTAATAGCATAGAAAAGATAAATGCACTGAGGCGTATTTCACTGAGCCCCATATTTCACATGGGAAATACTACATGGCGATGAAAAGGAGAAAACTATTGCTACTTGTGATAACATGAATGCAACTCATCAACTTAACACTGAGTAGGGACAGGCATGAAATAGTACATCTTGTGTGGCTGTAGCACTTTTGTGAAGCCCAAAAGCAGGCAAAATGAAGCCACTGTGAGAATTTTCACTGAAAGGAGGGAAGAGAGGAAGAGAAGCAAGATGACCGGAAGAGAGGGAAACAAAGGAGACTTCTGGGGAGCACTTCCCAGAGAGATCTGCAAACTAAAGCCCATGGAGGCCAAATCCAGCCAGTATGTTTTTATAAATAAAGTTTTATTAGCACATAGCAACGCTTACACCATTAGGTTTACTGGATAGCAGTGAACCACAACAGCAAAGCTGAATAGCTGCCAAAACAGACAGTATGGCTCCAAACACTGAAAACATTTGTTATTTCACCCTTTACAGAGAAGGTGTGCCCACCCTGATCTTTATACCGATCTGGGTGATGGTCTGGTGGATAGTCACATATGTCAGACTTCATTTACTTCTCTACTGCAGACCTCTGTCATACTTTAATGACATGTCCAAAACGTCAAGGGCTGGGGGCCTACTTCAGTGCAGAACATGAACCTGGCATCCAAGAGGCCTTGGGTTCAACCACCAGCACTCAGAAGAAAAAGTCAACAGAACTAAGTCACCATGCCTTTATTTTAGAAGATCTTTTAATTTTCATTCCAGTTGCATTTGTGCTATTCATTTGGGGAGAGTGGCCATTTATGTAGACCTTGTGTTTTCAGAACCACAAGGAGCCAGGAGGCTACCAAAAGTGGAGAGGACCACAAGGCAGCAAGTGCCATAAGGTCCACGTTCTGATGAGAGCACGGACACATCCACAGAACCGCTCAGAGGCCATTCATGGAAACAGGGAACTTGGCAGAGTCCTGAGACGACAGGAGGGATGGGACAGGAAGAGGGTAGGAACCTCATGTGATGAACGGTGTCATACTACTCGAGGTTATTTTAGGATCTAGCTTAGGAGAGCAACATGTCAGCTCAGCTCTGACTGAAATGCTGTAGTTATTAAGGTAAAGCAGTTTTAAGTTTCCAAGGAAGAAAACTCCACCAACAACTGGGTCGCAGTTAAGCCTGGAACCAGAGAACGGGTGAAGGAAAAAGCCTGCTGTGCACGCCCAGAGCAGGGTCAGTCTCTCCTCTCCTTGCACCCGAGAGCCGCCCAGTGAACTTGGAAAACAACTTCATTTCGTCTGAGGTTTCCCTGTTTTACGCTTTGCTTCTTTTGTTTCTAGCCATTTATCCTTTGATGATCACACTAAAATTACAGCTCGATGCCATTTGGTTTGGCCTCGTACTGGCCTAGCAGACACAGGAAAAATGAATACCCAAAGCACGGTGCTGGGTCTCTAATAAAATGTCTTTCTGTTTGCCCACATGGGCATCAAGCCTCAGCAAATAGAAGAGGGCAGAACAATAGTACCTGTTCATGGAGGAATAGTGATGGTTTCAGTCCTCCAAACAATCAGCTCTGTAATTTACCCCATCTTCCTCCTGAGAAAGAGCTTCACATGGCCTGTAACCATGCCAGGTGGTTTGGAGAAGGACGAATTGCTGGGCCAAACAAGGGGCGCTTCAGCGCAGGGTGTAAAGATTCAACAGCTGGTCTGGGCTCGGCTGATCTCCCAGTGACCGGGCCCCAGCAAGCCTTTCCACACCAAGATAAGGATCGCTGTCCTATTCAGCCTCAACAATTCCCACACCCCAGGCCACAGGATTTTCCAGCACTGCCCAAGATGTACTACGCCTTGGGGCACTGCATGTTCACCCATTCATTCACCCAGAGTCAAGGCAGGCCTGTTCTCTAACCCAGCCCAGCCTCCAGCCTTTTTCAGAAAGCAGGACTGACTTAGGAGGCCTTAATCAAAACAAAGGAGGGCCTGACAGGAAGTATGCCAGCAAGAATAACTGCATCAAGCTGAGGACACACTGGTCTCGAAAGACACCTGCGCCAGAGGGGTAAAACCAAGAGTGGCACTTTCCCCTAAAATACACACAAGGCACAGCCACAGAAGTAATCAAATATTTTTAAAACCGAGTTACTGTAGCCTTGAAGTAAGCACAAAAAGGCTAGGAATCCATCCAATAAAAATGTCTGCTGACTCATATTTTTCACTGGTGGAAGAATTCCATTTACCTAGGGCAAGTGACTATTTCAAATCCTTATTAAGAGACAGATTTGAAATGGCTACAAAGATCCAACACTGTGGGAGCTGCCCATGGCCACCCACCACACACACACACACACACACACACACACACTCACACAAAGGCTCTCTACAAGAAAGGAACAGTGACTTGACAAACACAACCCACCTAACCAACATCAACTGCAAGACAGAAGAACCTACAGCCAGGATCTCACACCACAGCAAAAGGTGTCAAAAGCTTCTCTTCCAAGCATTGTGCCAGAACTCTCCAGAAGTTCTAGCTCCTGCAGTTACCCTGAGAGTCCATCTACCTTTGCAAGGCCAGCCAGACAAAAATCGTATTAGTCTGCTCGGCCTCCACTGCTGTCTTCCGTTGGCTTCCATTCAGCCCTGAGTCTGTATTAGTCTGTGATTTGTTTAGAGAATAGAAGTACTACGTGAGCAGGAAACAGGACACTGATCAGAAGCTGAGATCTGTCGCCTTTCCCTTCCAGTGCTCCCAGTGTCATTTATCAACAGGCCCAAGAGAAGTCAACGTTTCAGGACAATCAGGTTAAAAGTGATATTCTTAGCACCACTCAATGTAATGCTGATCCCCCAGAAACAACTCTCTCTGGCTGTCACGTGGCCTCTTTGCCCTCTCCCCCTTAATTCTTCCTTTTCACATTTTGCCACTCCATTCTACTGCCGAATCCAGACTCTTCCCTAAGCAAAAAATAATTGTCAAGCTGGGGTCTGGGAGCCCATTACGCCTGATCAAGATACTCTTGACAGTAAACACTGACTTCTCTTTCTTTCTGTATCTTCAAATCACTGGAACAGCATTTCTTCTTACCTCCCCTAATGATTCAACCACCACCACCACCATCACCCCATCATCACCCCCACCACCATCATCAATGTCAACATCATCATCACCACCATCATCACCACCATCATCATCATCACCACCATCATCCTCATTTAGGTGGGGAGGGGTAAAAAATAAAAGACACGGGAGACCTACATATTGACAGTTTAAGGTTCAGAATCTCTTGCGTTTCCTACCTGAATTGCAATCTGGTGTTCGATCATTTTGTACGCAGAGTAATGTGTGCTGCCCGACTGAAAATGGAGCTGTAGAAAGAAACCAAATCAAAGCGTTCTGCTTATGCCACAAACCACAAGAAAACATCTTCAGCAGCTTATGAACAGCAGACAAACCTTCTTAAACTGAACTGAAGCCTTGGCACTTACTCAAGACCTGTATACTTAAATTTGTTGATATGGGTTAAATAATCTAAATACCAAAGTTTTTTTTTTTTAAGCACCTATTTAATAAGCAAAAAAAGGGAGGGGAGGAATGAGCATCAATAACAAGAAAAAGAAAGACTGAAGCCCATTAAAACATAAAGGAAGCCAGTGTGCTGAGCAGGAGACTGAAGAAAAATTAACTTTGCCACAAAAAGTCATCAGAATTGCAACATGTAGGCAACAGGAAAGTTTATGAAAGGATTTGAGAAGCCACAGGACTGCAACAAGGACAAGCCCCTTCCCCACTATTTCTAATCAGTGGGCCCTGGCACTCCAACACAATTCTATTTCTGGGTAAACAAATGTGTTTGACAGAATGCAGGGGCCACCCAATGCCCTACACATTCTTTCACAATGACTAAGCCGTCCAGCCCGGAACATCTCCACAAGCCCGCACTCTAGTAATCCACACTTCCCCAAAGAGGGAGCCGCGCAGTGGCCAACAGCCTCCTGTGTGTGGAGGGCCACCTATGAGTGAGCTCTGGCTCTCAGCCCCTCCATGGCAAAAGCTCGGGTCAGCTCCGGCCTGTGGACCACCTGTCAAGGGAGGGGGGACCCCCAATTAGAAAAGAACACCAAGACTCCCCACCAAAGCCTCATTCTGACAAATACTACTTGTTAATCTTGGGATCCTCCCAACTGGGAAAACAAACACTATCTGCTGATTTATTTGACAAACGACACCATAATCACTAAAGGGTCTCAATCTGAAAACGCACTTTAACTTGCCATATGCAAACAAATCATCAGGGAGCAGGTGATGCTGGGAGATCACTGCTCACCCCCTAAGAGCAACAGGCAAAATTCATTCCATCTCAAACACAGAACTACAGTATCCCAGAGAATGAGTATTGCTATTACGACGATAGTATTACTACGAGCGCCAGAACATTTCTGTGCTACTAGAACAAAGCATAGTTTGGGCTACGTGTGAGTTCTGGACCCAGTTAAATTGTATCTTGCTTCCTGGAAGAAAAAGCATTCAGTTCACTGCCTTGTTTTTTTAAAAAAGGAAAAAATGAAAACAATTCACACAAGAACTTCTGAAATGATTCCAAATACAAAAAGCCCAGTAGCAATCCAATAAAAAGTAGTCGAAAGCCATCCTGCTCATGGGATGGGGCTGAAGTACCTATTTCAGGATATAGTAGACTGTTTATATGTTATCTGATTCATATGTAAGGTGTGTGTGTGTTTACCAAAACAGATTACTAAGAGGCATGAAAAGGAGGAAAAATAAACCTATATCCGCCAAAGCAGGGCAATAAACCACTGTTCCCCAAAACAACACAGCAAGAGGAGCCCACCGTGCAGCTGTGCAGCCCAGCAGCCCTACACACTCCATCCAAAGTGTGTCACTGAAAAAGAAAGATGGATTTGCACCCTTTGTCCCCCTGCCTTTTTCTGTAAAAACTGCCAGTCAGTAAGCAGAGATTGCACTAATTACTGTGACAATTCTGCATCACGTTAAAACAACTTTTGTGCTTAGAGCAGGTTTCTGTGAGTTTGGAATTCTTGGCCAGAGAGCAGTGCTTGTCTGAGAGGAGGCTCTTCTTCTAAGCAGAGCAAGCAACACTAACAACTTGTCCCTCTTTTCAGCCCGTTTTATTCTCCTCTTTTCCAATTGCCTGATTCAGAGCTTAATGGAAACTTGTCCAAGCTTTTCTTCCCATAAACCCTGCAGGAGCCGTAGGCAATCTGTACTCAGAGTAACCACAGGAATCTTGTATTGTCAATTAACATTGAATGGACACCTGATAACTAAGGATATGTCGTGGAAAATAATTTCACATAGTCACAGTCTTATGAATAAATTAATGAAACTGTGGCTAAGCCAAATTCAATTTTCACTTGTCCAGTTCTGCCCTTAATCCTTCCTTCATCACCACCCAAATAACACCAACGATGCTGGAGAGGATGCCGCAATTAAACAGCAAAAACACAGCTGCACCTTCCCTACGACTTGAGCAGAGAATCCAACGTAAGAGACAGTGTTAATTTTAATCTTCCGTATCACACACACACACACACACACACACACACACACAGATGCGTGCACAGGAGCACAGTTTATACCCAAGAAGCCATGGAACCCCTTAGGAGTCCAGCAACACCAAAATCCATCATCAGATCTTCACACATAACCAGTATCCACTGTACTGCAGATTTCTGAGCTACCAGACCTCAAACTACAGTAAAGAAGACTTAGGATCTTCTCATTTCTCCTTTTGGTTTCCAATCCCCTCTTTTACCAGAGATATTCTTCTGAAATGCACATCATGACTGCTTCTGCCTTCCCTGTAAAACACAAAGCTGCCTTGTTTTAGGCCACCTCTTTAAGACAAAGATAAAAAACAAATACCCAGTAAAAACTTGGCAATCTAAACAGGAACGACGGTGCCTATCTCTCTAGAAACTACGAGGAAGGAAAGAGGAGATGGGTGGCCCTTGCGCTTTGAAAGGTGAGGGAAGGTAGAGAGATCCCGGACAAGATGGCTAAGGCATATCTGAGTTCTCAAGCCGGGTGCCCACGTGCCTTGCCTCCTAGATCACCCTGTGCAGGTCACCTGGTGGGTCCCACGTCACTTCCTTATCCAGCAACTATCGCCATTCTAGCCAGTGCCTGTCTACCTGGATTGCCCAGAGGAGCCACCAAAGGAGGACTCTGCAGTACTTTTCATTTCATCCCTTCCATCCCAGAAAACACAACAAAATAACACGTTCCTTTCCTTGGTGCTTGCTTACAGTAGCCAAGCCCCTCCTTCCCATTCTGTCACTCCGGCCACCGAGGCCCCATTTGTCCAGATAAAGAACCAGAAAGATTTGACAGCTCTCCGTACCTGCATGCAACATTAACTGCCCCCCTGAGTATCTACCACAGCCTAAGTTCTCTTTTAGTTCTAATCACCACTGCTGACTCTAAACTTTTCAGGTACAGCACATCAGAGATCATCCAGAGATGGGAGGAAGAGAAAGCAGCTTTTTCCAACCACAGGAATATCTTCCTCTGAACTAACACACCCCCACGCCAGATTTTGGAGCTCCATGTTGGTCTTTTTAGCACTAAGTTAACTTCCTTCCAGGGGGATGAAGATTAATTTCTGATTTGTTCCACTAAAGTTGGAGTGAAATGAGCTTTACTTTTAGGTTTATGACTCACCTGTCTTTTTCTTTCATATATTACAAAATAACATTCATTTCCTAAGAGGTTTTGGTTTTCTTGGGGGGTTTTGGTCCACTTTCCTCTCTCAAAGGACAAAATGATTTTTTTAAGAACTTTTCCTAGGTCATCAGCCATTTGCGGGGCCCAAGGCAACAGAACCTCCATCCATTACGTACACAACCCCCATTCCCTACCCCCACAGCACACTGAGAGCCTTTTCCATTTTATGGGACATAAACTTTTGGTCAGGACTTTGGGGTTACGTATTGCCTGCTTTTATTAAAAACAAAAAACAAAAAAAAAAAGTACCAAAGAGCCTCTAACTTCAAGAGAGAAGGCAAAACCAAGATTACTAGTAGGTCCTCTAGTTTAAACATTCTTGCAAAGATCTAGACACGAACATCTGTAGCACCCTGAAACAACCGCCTAACAAGGGCACTACGTTTTTACTTCCTGGCGTCCTCCTTCAAAAATCCTACCACAACAAAATGCAAGCCCTCAGACACAAGAACAATCTCTCCTACTGTCTCAGTGTTCCATCAAATATCTATTTACCCTCATTAATTTTTTTTTCTTTTCTTCAACCTGAAACCATCAGCTATGAGTCAGAGAACGATCATTAACTTTTACAGCTTCCATACATTTCCACCTACTCATATTTGGGGAAAGAAGTATTGACTTGCAACATTGCCTGAGACCAAAATTCTCTAAGAAGAAAAAAAAAGAAGGAAAAAAAAATTCACTTCAAGAAAGTTTCATATACAGGTCTACCGGGGATGATACATTCACTGTTTTTCAACATCATGCTGCAATCTGTGCCAACAAGAAAAAAGCTGAGGCTCAACTCGGTGCTGGCGATGGGCATCTCTGGGTTGGTTTTTGAGAAAAACTGGATGGTTTTCTTCAAACAGAAAAACACTATTAGCATCCTTACACTGGGAGAACATAAAGCGAATTAAGTTTCCTGCGCTTGTATAAAACACATTTCTAGCATATAAAAACACATGGGCTGAAGTGCTGAGACATGTTCTTAACGCAGCACTTTTCATTAAAAGTTGCCACACTAACTCTTAAAATGATGCCCCATCATTACTCCACTTAGCCGTCACAGTGCTGCAACTCATAACAAATTAATTTGCATTAATGTGGGTTTCGTGTGTCCTTCCCTGGGTATGCCATTGTGATTCAGGCTCAATAAAACTGACATGACAATAACACAGTGCCTTTTATTTCACTTTCCAAAACAAACCAACCCACCCAAAGACCCACACAAATCCTTTCCATTTTTTAAGCATTTTACTAATATATTTAGTACATCATAATTGGCCCAGCACGCAAGAATCTAGTTATCTTCTCAGTAAATATTTATAGCATCACTCCTTCCCATTCATTCTGCATTTTCTTAGAGAATCTCACATCTGCAATTCATTGACTTTACAATTTACCACATGTTGGGATGGGAGAGGTCTTAGCTCCATTTGAATCACTACACAAATATGCAAGTGATTTATCGGTTTCAAACTGAAGACTGCAAGAAAGGGACTCCACTTTTCCTGAACATTACTTCTGGCAGACCATGAACAATTACAGTTCGTACTAATTAAGCTCTGTAAATGTGCTGTGCCCTGCTAATGCCTACCAGGCCTCAAATTTATTTTCATGATGCCAAACTTCAGTGAACAAGATTAACCCCTTCAGAGCTGGGATCATTAACAGCCATTCCT